AAAGAGAGAAGAGAGAGGTGGAAATGTGGTTATTGAAAGAAGGAGGAAGAAAGCATAGGGACGGACCATCTCTTCCCCAATAAGTGTTCCAACTCCTATACCTGCCACCCAATAAACCAGGCCAACTACCTCAAACTGTACCCTCTGCTCATGGCCTTGACCATGGCTGGGATGCACAGGCCAAATTCCTCTCTGAGTGGATTCTCTCCTTCTAGGAGAGGCAGATTATGGCCCTTTTCCTCCCATTTTCCCCTCCATCTCTGGCCCAGTAGACAGTCTAAAAGAAACTACCCACAGACTACAAACCAAACCTCTCCAGGCCCAACCCCCTAGACCCACTCAGGCTCCTCTCATTTCATCATCCTCACAGCTCAGCCTCATGTAAAAACATTCAGCTAGAGCTGCATTTGCTCCAGCCCATGGGTACCTCCGGTGTTGCCTGTCTTGGAGGCTAAATCACTTCTCTCAATACTCTCCAATACAGGAAGAGCAATTATTGCAGATTTCTCCACTTTGCTCCTTGGGAGCAACTTCTTGTAAATGAGAGAAGATTAGAACCTTTGGCTGAGAGAGGCAGGGTGGGGAAGGATTACCCATCTATGCCCTTTCTATTGAACTCCATCCACGTTGTCCTGGAAAATGAAGCAGCAGACTGCCATGAGCAGCACTTTCCACCTTCAACCTCCACAGACAGGTCTGAATCACTGGCTCCTCTAGCCTGGGCTTCACTGTATGGGCAGCTACCTCTGAAGGAAGCTATAGCAGCAATGCACTGCCCTTCCCTGGCTGCTGCAACACTTTTTAGAAAGCAATAAGAAGGAAAGGGTTGGGTCTAGTAAAATCATGCAGCTACAGACTTGAGAAAAATCTCTCTAGCTTTCTCAACCTTCTCTTCCTTCTCTTCACAAGTTTAAAAGAAGAGTTCCTGGTCATATCTTCTATTTGCATCCAGATATTTACTTGCCCTAGAATTAAAGGGCAGGGATGCCCCTTGGCGGTTGGATCCACCAGCAAGCTATCCATCGCCTTCCGTGAATTAATATTTAGCTCACATTATCAGTGTACTATGTGCTACACATACATTGTGTGCGTAATCCTTAGCATCCCTATTGTAGGAAAGAGAGGAGACTCGAGCAGTCCAGTGCCCTCTATTAATTAGTGCACTACAAAGTAGCAGGGTGAGATTGCAGTCTAGACCCCTAACCTCACAGTTCATGTGTTTGCTCCACACCAAGCTGGCAGCAAGCATTTTTCCATCCCAAGTAAACTGCAGGGCACTCGTCAGAAGGAGGGAAACAGCCTTCGAGGGACATAGAAGATGAGACACACAACTGTCTTACGATGCTGATTCCTCCTCTTGCTCAAGGAATGCTGAGGGATCTTGGCTAATTTTCAGAGAATAAGACTTCTAGTGACCACCATTTGGTGATAATGGTGTCTTCTGATTATCTCCTCCAGAGAAGCAAATGTACTCTTTTTCACTATCCCTCTCAGGTCTGGTCTCATTTAAGGGCATAAACTTTGTCCTGACCCAAAGAGGACCACAGAATCACCTGGGCCACCAACTGTAGGACGCACTGTATCCCTGCCCACACTCGGTCCTGTGCCCAGGAGTATGGCAGGTTCCACGCCCACAGCAGCATGACTGGGTGAGGCCAGGAATGCAGGATCGCTGCGAGGCAGAGCTTCAGTCCAGGTGGCAGCCTCTCAGTAGGGAAACTGGCATCACTTTCATCTGGTGTCGTGAGACATATGGTTTAAATATTTTAGAGCCTTGAGTCATTCCACAATTGACTCAGATGTGTTTCCGATGAGGTCTGAGACAGCCTGCAGGGCCTGCAGTGGACTTTCTGAGTCACGTCTCGTGAGCACAGGCGACGGACTAGGCAACCTGCCCTAGGAAGCAGATCTAACTGACACCTGCAGGACCCTCAGTCTGAAAGACGCTCTACTTAAAAATCCTGCAAATCAAAGAACAAGCCAATTTCCCAGGAAGTAATCAGTTGAGGTGGCCTAAACCATAAAGTGCCTTCTGGTTTCCCCAATCTCTGGTTTTCTATTGTGAGAAAACGAAACAAAATCAGAGACACTTTTCCCAAAGAAGGAAGATAGCCATCATGGGGCCATGGCATTTCATGCGTGCCAGGGTTGACCTGCGGTGTAAGGAGAGAGGACAATTGAGCTTCCCCATGACTTCCTAAAGAGATTCCCAGCGATAGAGGGATTCAGGCCACCAGTTCCGGGTGGCCACTAAAGGCTGACAGGTGTATGGAATGTTGAGGAGAGCCAGGGCCTCTGAATCCTTACTAAGCCGGCTGCATTGTTCATTAAGAAATGGGCTCCAGCAGGGGCATTTCCCCAAATTTCAGGCAGAAAACGAAACCACAAACCCCTTGAAGCTCTGGCAGCCCAGATCTAGCTGGGTCTGTCCCAAGGGCCAGTGCCCTGAGATACATATCATATCTTTATTATATAAATGTCATCTCTTCAAGTGCAGACTAGGATTCTGGTCTATACTTTTTATTCTACTGGGATACAACTGAGTCTGTACCTTTGTGCCTGAGCTGCAGGTGGACAGCAAGGCAGGCGTATAGGAGACTGACTTGGGTAGTAGCCAGGGAGGAGTTACCTGAACTTGTCTGCTCTAATCCCCTTCTCTGTCCTTTCCGTTTCTGTGATTGGTTGGTTGGGAGACCAGTTGGTCAGTTGGTAATTTTGTTTACTTTTTCATCCTCTTCATGGTGATTGATGTTTCCCATTTCCTTATTTCTATCTATTCTTTTCACCACTCCATGGAAAACAAATTTACTCAAGTAAATCCCTGCCCTAAACTCAACTCCTTAAATTAATACTCTTCACAAAAACTTTCACGAAAAAGTATAATTGAATATAAACCAGTTTAGAGAAATTCAACTCCCCACAAAACCTTGGGAGTGTGCGGACACCATCCAAAGAGAATGGGATAGGTAATAATATTGATTTGAACACCTAATAGCAAGCCAGAGGAAATCCTTCCCTAGAATCAGGCAATGGCAATTTGGAGATCGTGCAGGACCAACTTGGTCAGCAAGAAAAAGCTTCATAGCAGTCTGAAGGTAACTAAATAGTTGCTGTCCTAGCATGAACTGAAACTTACCAGAAAAGACAGGGAAAGAAAAACTTTACAATAAGCCCTAAAAATATCCAGTACCTAAGAATAAATCTAACAAAAATGACTAAGAGCTCTACAGAGTAAACTATACAATTATATAGAATAGAATTAAAGAGAAACTAATAGCTGGAGAGAAATAACATATTCATAAACCAAAAGACTCAAGATTACTAGGGTGTCATTTCATTTCAAACTGACCCCTAGATTCAGTACATTTCCACTTAAAGGCCCGAATTGAACTTTATGCAAAGTGAGAATGGAGGGAGAAAAGGGACACACACAGCAAACCCTCAAAGCCCAATAGGGTGCACCTGGGTGGGCCCAGGGCCTCAGCCTTCGGGCGGCTTGGACATCACCAAGGAGGGAACGGGCAGGAAGCTGGTAAGGAAGCAGGGTCGGTCACAGATACTCCATGTCACCTACAGCTTTTGGTGCTGGGGGGGGTCAGTGGTGTCACTTAGTTGCTGTTGACAGCGTCACAAACAGCAGGGACAACCAAGGGGGCAAAGCTACACCAGAGGCTATAACAAGGCTCAGCTGCAAGCTTCTCCCTGCAGGAGCGTTCGCCCGGGAAGCTGGCAGTTCACTCAGGCAGAAAGCTCCTAGCTGCTCTTCTCCCCCGAGGCTCCCCCAGGGGTCGTGGAAGGGTACAGAGGGTGCAGCAGCAAGGACTGCTACTCTGGAGTTGCCTCACCACCCTGGCTGGAGGCATCCCTATTGGGCCGCTACATCTTAGTCTTCCCTAAGGGGAGTCACAGAGGGGATTGGACCCTGGCAGCTCTCTGTGACCAAAGCCCTGGCCTCCTTTTTTCAGCCTTCTCCTACCTTAAGAATAGTCCAGAAGGAGAATGGACCGAAGCAAAAACACTCATTGGCCCTCCTGCCCAGGCTTTCTTGAATAAGGGCAACTAAAGCCTCAGAGCTCAGTTCCTTGTCGCAAGGCAAATTAGAACCCAAAGGTGTTTCAAACCCAGGGATAAAGCAAAGCCCCTAGGCCATTACTATCTAGTGGGACACACCGTGATAATGAAAATGTCCCACATGTGCCATCTGTAAGATGGCCACTAACCTCCCACGGCCACTGGACAGTACAGTGTGGCTAGTGCGGCCGAGGGATGCCTTTAAATGGTATTTATGTTCGTTGATTTCAATTTACCCTGACACTGCAGCGCTGGCGCTTCTGCGGGAGCAGCACAGCTGCGGACCCTGTTTGCTTCCCTGCCACGCCCTGGTTCCTGTCTGCTCTGGCTTCTCCAGTCCAGCTGCTCCAGCTTCTGGAAGCCAGATGGTCTATCTCACCCTCCCTAGCCTCTCTCCATCTGGTGGTTTTCTGCCAGAAATCGACTCTTTCATAGCGGAGCCCTTTGACAGGGTAAGGCGGTCTCGCCCTGGGATTCTCTTAGTGCAGTTTCCTCCTGACGGTCACTTCCCCAAGTCACCGGCATCCCCCAAGTCCTTGGCAAGTGCCGAGGCCTTTTCCTTGCAGACCCTTTCCCACCCAGTTCCTGAGCGGGCCATAATGAAGGCTGTAAGTGCCTTGGGGGCTCCACGCTCTCAGCTATGGTCTGGAATTCATCGTGCTGCCAAGTGTCCCTGGGCTGTTTGGGGGGTACCCTTTTTCCAGGACTACTGGACTCTGCTAGGTGTCCTGGTTAGCCTTTAGTGCCCCAGGGATACTGAAATCTGAAGCTCTAATCCTCAACCTGGTTCTTCCTGCCCCTTCTCCTGGGGTACAGAACCTCATCCTTATACTCCTATGGCAGCCTGAAACTCTTGCTGCCTAATGGCCTCGATGCCACTTTCAAAGTGCGATGGCAGGGCCAGTAGGTGGCATGGTGGCTTAAGGACACTGGACTCCCACATGGCTGACCGCAGTTCAAGTCCTGGACCTGGCACTTGCCAGGAGGCTCTCAAATAACCCCCTTACTGGTCAGCACCACGGAGCTGAGCCAAGGCCAGCCCTCTGGATGTCTTAAAAACCTCTGAGCCTAAGTGGGGGTGTTGCTGGCCTTGGCCTTGCCGTGCCCAGAGGTAGCCTTCCTCCTGCACCCAAGTGAGCCTACATGGTTCAGGAGCTAAGGCTTCCAGAGACTTCCAGGGAAGTTTTCATCTTTGTTCTTAGGAATAGTCTGTGCTCTTGGGAATGACTATCAGCTCGACCTAGGTGGGCCAGCCCCTGCAAGATGACGTGTATTTGGGAATACCCTGAGGGTGCGGTCAAGGTGGAAAGGGCCATAACCAGCTAACCTCTTCCCCTTGGGCTGAGACAGAGGAGGGCTGAGTTAGGGTCTAGTCCACACCTGCACAGGCAGAGGGAAGAACAGAATGGGGAGGTGGGTGCCCAGGGAGCACTAGGGACAGAACTGGCTTCAGCAGAGAAACTCAGCAACCCGATCTCTTGGTCCACTGTCAGTTCTGTCCATATCTAGAACCTTCTTTCTCTAAAGGTCTAGCAACTGATTTCCCTTTATAAAGGCCTTTCCTCACCTACCCCGCGGTGCTAGGGTCCACATTCTCCAGCCAGCTTGGGCTCTCCAGGGACATTCATGCCAATACAGTTGCAAGGGGTCTTCCGAAGCCAGGATTCATCCATTCAGGTGTGGACTCTCTTAGATTCCTTGCCCCCTGAAGAGTGCTGCCCCAGCAAAGGGACCAGGCTTCTGGCAGGTGGAGAAACTGGGGAGGAGGGGGCAACCACACTCAACAACTCAAGCCCCAAGTCAAGCAGATTTACATGTCTGACCTAGGGAAGGGAAACCATGATTACCAGCTGTGAGCCAGGCCTAGTTTGCCAACTCAGGCCAAGATACAGTTTGGACTTAGTAAGACATGCTCTTTGTCCCCCACGGAGACAAGCAGAGGACACATCGAAGGCTAGGCTTCGAAGTGTTGCCAGCTATAATAGCCTTAGGGAAGAAGTGGGGAGCTGCTGGTCAGCTCAGGAGGGGTCCAGAAGTGCCACCAGGATACACTCCTTAGGAGCCCCAGGGCTGCCTGTCAGATGCAATGAGAAAGCCCACAGTCTAAGAACTTCTCTAAAGCACCAGTGCAACAAGGATAGGCTGGAAGGACCCTGCAGGTCATTCCAGCCGGTCTAGGCCAGGCCTGCTCCGGGTGACAGGCTCCGGTTTCCACATGCTCTTCCAGGGGCGAGAAACCTCAGGACTCTTTATAGACCATTGAAGAACCAGGATAACTAAGGGCAAGGTGAGACGACCAGCAGGAAAGTAGAAATCTGACCACTTCCTCATTTTGAAAGCTGAGAATCTCCAGGAAACTTGTTTTTAAAAAGGATGATGTTGCCAGTTGAAATTTACTTTCTTTCCTACTTGACCTTTGCCTCTAATTGTATCAATGGCGAGTCCTTTTCCTTCTGCCAACAATTAGCCATGTATTTTTGGATGGTTGTAATAGTTTTGTGAGGCTTTAGATTTTACAAAGCAAATTTCACTTTATTTCTTTGCTTAATAATCTGCTACCCCATATTCCACCTAGAGATAAGACTCTGGCAGACTGAGAGTTGGGAAGCCTAGGTCCCACCTCGGCATCCTCTGGAATGAGCTGCTGCTGGGTGGAGGAACAGGAAACTCACTCAAGAACTTGCTCCTTCCATGTCCCGTAAAATCGGAAGGCTGGCCTAACAGACCACTCTGAGATGGAGTGAGGTCGTGTCTGCAGAGCACCCGAGGGTTCCAGACGGTGCCATCCAGCAGGAA